CATACAGTTAGCATGTGAGGCTAGCAGCCTGTTAGCACGTGAGGCTACATACAGTTAGCACGTGAGGCTACATACAGTTAGCATATGAGGCTACACACAGTTAGCACGTGAGGCTACAAACAGTTAGCACGTGAGGCTACAAACAGTTAGCACGTGAGGCTACATCTGTACCTGGACGTGGTTGTTTACTGCGGCGTGAGCGGCCAGTCTCTTCGCCTCCTCGGCCATGTTGGTGCTAAAGTTGCGGTAAAAGTTGCGGTTAGTGTCGGTGGTGGTGGAGGTGCTGATGTCCGGGGTGTCAGCAGCAGAGTGACCGAGCAGACGCACGTGTTTCTGGCTGAAGGGAAACGGAGACCCCGCCTGTTTCCTCCGGGAGAAGACGAGTGGTTTAGCGAGGTGACGGGAGGAGGAGACCCACCCCCGGAGCCTCATGACCCGGCCCACGGACACGGACACACCGGGACACGGGGAGCGGAGTCCCGCTGCACGAAGCAGATCAGCTGCTCGGGATCTGCGCGTTAATCCGTGAGTTTGATTCCTGCTCCTCCGGGAAACTCCACACGCATCAGCTGCTCTGAGGACAACAGCGACCCCACGGGGACAGTGGAGGAGCTTACATCCACCCGTTTGTTGTTTTCATATTTCAAGTTTAAAGTTTCATTCGTGAAGTTTACACAGAATCAGTTTAATGAAAGATGACAAGAAGACGCAGCTCAGCAGGGAAACAGCTGAATGAGAGTAACGTGAAGGAGCTCAATATATAAAAAGTCAAATAAAACAGTAAAACTAAATACATTTAAAGGTGCAGTGAGACTTTAACTGTGTGAAGTTTGATGTACAGCCAATGCACCGTGAGTTTATAGTTATTATACATGTGTGTGTGTCAGATGTTTTAATTTCCACAAGGATTTTATTATAAAACAATAAAGCCTCACGTCAGAGAATGAAACAGACCAAAACAAATAATCAAATATGGATCAAAAAGCTTTAGTGTGAACATTAATACAGATAAAAACAACCTGAGTGTTGCTTCAATTCTACCTTTAAAACCAATAATTCAATATAATGTTGACGGTTCACAAACCTCCAACAGGTAGAATGTCATGTGTGTGATTCCCACCGTGCTCCTGGAGCTGAATCGAGAAAATCAACTTTCATAAGAACGACCTAAAATCAGTGAATGATTTAACGTGTACTTTGATTGCCCGCCACCAGGGGGGGGGGGGCGATGAAGATACCTTTGGCCTCACTTTCAGGAGCTGTGACGTCGTCCATCTTTAAAAACAGTTTCTGAACATATGGATCCACAATAAACACAACAAACCAGGATATTTACATCACTACTACTTTTTTATTTGGCAAACAGCTTGAGATAGTCTCTCTTTTCAGTGTACAGTATATATATACTATAGTAAACCAACACAATTTGTTTGATAACCATTTTTTTCTCCTTTTTACATATTACAGCTTACAAATATAGCTGATCTTTTTGACAAAATTACAGATTCTGTTTGACACCTAAATTAGTTATGCTATATAAAAATCCACACATCTTACATTCATGAATAGAAAAAGTAGGCTATATGAAATCAGGGAGAGAGAGAAAAAAATAAACACCACGTTACGCAATTTTTAAACAGATCCAATCAGGAGGAGGAGGAGGAGGAGGAGGAGGAGGAGGCGGAGGAGGAAGAGGAGGGGGAGTCAAGGTTTCACAAACAGAGTCGTTCACTCTGAACCCAACGTTAAGACCTCTGAGAGAAATGTGCTGCTATTCCAAAACTCATCAGTACAGAGAAGATATCAAGGAACAACATCAATACTGTCACGCACGAAGGATGGTTTCATCTCTCGGCCCGAAGTCAGAAACCAACACTTTGCCTGGGATTATAATGGACAGTTGATAAAAACTAAACTTTGCATTGCAAACTGTACATATTACTTCATAACTCACGACCTCTCTCTCTCTCTCTCTCTCTCTCTCTCTCTTCCCTCACCAGTGCTGTCTTAAGGCTAAGTCCACGGATTATGCAAATGCGGCCGAGCTTTACCTTTTCACGCCATCTCGGCGTGAGACATCTGCTTAAATCGGACATCTTTCTCACATCTGTAAGACAAAGTTGAACAGAGCTGCATGAGGGAGCTGCCATTAGGATATTGGGAAAAGCAACTAAACCGCAGTAAAATCTGTGAATGCGACACGCAAACACTTTTTTATTTATTTTTTTAGCTTGTACCTCGTGTGCGATAATTGAACGAGCACAGAGTTCGTGAGGATGGACTGAAAAGTTGCTGTCTTAAAAACACAGCTGGCCTGTTGATGCTCCACGGCTGAAGTGAAGCTCTGTTTTATACACAGTATTGCTGAATATTGAGCGTTGCATTCAGTTTATCGAGAAGTTACCGTTTGACTTTTTTTTTTTTTCTTCTTCTTGTGTAGGTTACATGTCCATTGGCATCACATCGTATCAAAACAACCCAGATAAGACATGCTTTAAGCAAACCGCTGCTTAGAAAAGGTTCTCTTTTTTTTTTTTAAACATATTTTTGTTCTGTAGATAACAAGATCCAGACGTCTGGATTAATACATGACAATGTTGGCAAGCATTGATCTAATCATAACATCTAAACAGAAAACAAGACCGGATTATTCTAAAACTCATCACTAACAGAAAAACAAACAAAAAAAAAACCCCGGGATGCATTTTGGTGAATCCAAAGCCCGCTAACGTTTAGTTTTATCTACTTCTTTTTCTTTTTTAACTTTAAACCTGCCTCTCCTCTTTACGAGCATTGCACCAGAACTGTTTGAGCTGGAAGGGACGTTGATATGTAAACACCGCAGCAGAGACGTGACACGTTGAACGCACATTAACTGTGGAAGGTGACGGAGTGAACGCAGACGGACCGATCGCTCTCTGTTCAGGGTCGACACACACGAATGATCATTATGTACTTTAAAGATAAACCGTCTTTATGATAAATAAATATTCTATTTCAATTTAACCTGAAATATTTTTTTTTTTGTATATTGCCTTAATATATTCTAATATCTTTTTATAATTTGATAAAGATTTCACTATATGTTTTGGCTTGTGCTGTCGTTCTATATAATTACATTTATTACATATATTTTGTCAATATATATATATTTATATCTGTGGAATGTATTTTCTAGTTAGCTGAGCACTTAAATTCCACCTTAAAAATGAGGTTTTCTAAAGAGCTGGCAGGAAGCGAGGTTAAAGACAGATTGGTGCCCATGACACACACACACTCACACACACTCACACACACACACTCACACCTTTTACCTTTGCTTAATGAACACTGGCATTTGTTGGAATGATCTAAAAACTAAATATGTCCGGAACACTTGGGAAACCACAGCTAACAAAGGTTGGAATGTCGCACAATGACAGAAAATACAAAAGTTCAAGATTTACTTTACAGTTTCCTAAATGCAGAGTTCCTACCAGTTATTTCACACATGGAGAAGTATTTAAATACCGATCAACACAGTGTAAGTAAGTACAATGTGCGTAACAACGCAGCGTGAGGGCGAAGTGTCGAAAGAGATCCCTTCTTACATCGTGCCGTTACGCATTTCTACGTTCTATACGAAGAACACCGGCAGAGATTTGATTACTTACACGGCATCAGTAAGTACTTGAAGCACTTACCCACAGGTTCACACACAGGTACACGCACTGCAGTGAGGAAAACGTAAAGTGTCACCGTGGAAAGTAAAGGAGTGTGAGGAGGAGAACACGGAGGCGTATGGCACTGAACCATCTGACAGGGTCACACGCAGGTGAAACAGGGAATTCTGGACAGTCCTGATTTTAACAGCAGGACGTTTCCCCCACAGAGAGACGCTGTCTGTCCACGTTCATGGGAAACATTTCCCAAGGCTCTCGTCTCTCTCTCTCTCTCTCTCTCTCTCCCTCACGCGACTTCCCTCGTTTCCAGTGCTTCACCTGTAAGAATGTTCTCATCAGATACAAAAATCAAAACAGTCGGTTTTTCTCCTTTTTGCTTCCGTACAGTTTTGCATTGAAAAATATGCTTTTCTTTTTTAAATCCTTAAATCTTTTTTTTTTTCTTTAAATTCCAGATGTTAGTTTGTGGTGTCGGAGCTTGTTCCCGTCTGCGGCTACATGTGTTGGGCGTCCATTATGTCCAAGTATTTGGCCTCAATGATGCGAGGAAGCACGTTGTTCCTAAACAGAGCAGAGAGAATTTGTGTCAGTCGTTAAATGTGAGAGAAGACATCGTGACTTCAGATCCTCTGACAGAAGATTCATCATTTCCTTCTCAGTGTTGAGCCAGAGAGTAAATAAACTGTGCTGGTTTGTACCAGACTGAGGGGGAGGAGTGTAACTTCCATCTTCATGAAGATTAGAAGTAAAACATGACGTTTGGAAAATGTCCTGAACAACTTGGACATTTCTGTCTCATTTACAGCCCCAACTGAAACTGTGAGGAAAAAACACGTCCAGTGCAGATCTGAGAGCTGCTGATGTTTCAGTAAACGTGGGTGTGACGCTCTGAAAACTTTAACGACACTGATCAATGTTTGGTTCTGTGTCGACGAGCCGAAACCAACTCTTCACAGAAACGGGAAAATCCTACTGATCAAACTTTGACGAGCACGAGTCGACTTTATAAATAATCTTGATCAGTTTTTCAAAGGCCAACCTGCATTATTTATCTCCGACATTCCGCCAGTTCGACGCTCACAAAGAAAGTCGAGGAGAATCTGCTGAATTATTCCGTGAATTCACAAATATCATGTATAATGCACCTCGCACATCTGCCGCCACTGTTCTCACGCTGCGCCGAGGCCGAGCGTCTGCCTCTCAGCTGAACTGCCAGATGTTTTTCAGTCGCACAAATCAGAAATGTGATTCTACACTCACAGGGTGATTACGAGAGATTTGCGGTTTTGAAAACAACAGAAGACGTCGACGCGGCTCAAACAGTTTTACATCCTCGGGCAGATCCAGGTCAGACGCTTGTCTGAGGCTGAATGTCATCTTGGTTCAAAGCACTCGAGTAAATCATTTACTGGGACAAAATGGAGCCCGGTGGTACCTGATTGGGATTAGCAGGATCATGAGCAGAGGGAAGATCATCTTCATGTACGGTATCGGGTACATGCCAAACGTGCACAGCACCAGCAGCTGCATCATCTGCAGGAAGGTGAAGTAGTGGATCTTCCTCTGGGGCACTTTGCGGATGTAGTGGGTGGGCGGGTAAGACGTCTGCGGGAGGTGAGAGGATCAGGACAGATTAAAATACAATCTTTTCCCCGCTGTCCTCAAGTCTCCTGCAGCCTGAGAGACATGATGAAGGGAAGAGGACGACACACACACACACACACACACACACACACTAGTCTAGAAATAGCACACTGAGTTTTAGATCATTAATAAAAAGAACAATATGTTTATTTTAAGTAAAAACAATAATTACAGAACTATGATCAATGATCAGTGTTTTTCATTTATCGTTCAATCAAGAGATGCAGAGATTGTCTATGTTGAATATCGTGATAAATCCAAAATATCCGTTTTAATACAAAATGCCTCTTTCTCTGACTGACGTCTTCATGTTGTTACCTCTCTCTGCCATTTGGAGGCGCTAGTGTGAAGTGAGGAGGAAGAGGCACCGTTGCTTTACTGAGACAGAGCGAAGGTTAAATCAGACGAGCGGAGAAACAGAGAGAAATCCAAAATCGAATAGTTTCCACGTATTTGATCTTATGTTCATTTGATCTCGTTGTGTTTTGGAGATAACGATTAAAGACGAGTGTAACTGTCATAAAAATGTTAATTCACAAACTGAGCTGCTCTAACTCACCAAACCCCACCCGCCTGGTGCTCACAGGTGATCAAAACAAACAACAAAAATTATATTTGCAAATATTATTTGACTCAGGTCTGCTCCTTCAGCACCCGGCATCCGGTCAACTGTTTGATCTGCAGAGCGATCGACATATGGCCCCACACACACACACACACACACACACACACACACACACAC